CTCAGATATTTTAGAAAGCCTATAGTGCATATAGCTTCATCTAACTCATGAACTTTATTCATCATGGCCTGTTGTGAATTGACTTCCTGCACTAGCCCCTTCTCCCTAGAGCATGCACCTGCTAGGCCATTCCCCATGCCACCCTCTCTGACAGCTACAACTATTGCATGTTTACCATCATTTTCCCTAACCAGCTCATCTAATCTGGCCATCACTGTTTCCAATACCCTACTAACATCATCACATCCATCTACACCCTCCTCTTCTCTGGTTGGAGTAGTTTGCCCTGCAATCTTACTATTACCACCATTGCTGGACATCTGATCCGTCCATTCTTTTGCATTAGAGTGCAATTGTTCATGTTGCATACCTCTGCTACTACTTGGACTCCGGGGTAAACAACTAGGGACTTCTTCACAGACCCTTACTAGAATGTGCTTATCTCTATGCTCCAAAAAAACTGTCGCATTAATCATCTCCATATACTTCGTTATCATTCTTACCTTAGCTTGATGGAAAGTTTATGGGTTATTGATATCCTCTTCGAACTGAACTACCACCCCCCAATGACTACCAATGTTGTGAATAGTTGTAATACTCCAAAGATTGATTGGGATGCCAAAACAATTCAACCAGACACACCTCGCTTGCTCCAGAAACTGACCTTTCCCCCATTCTTCAATTGAATCACACCATTGCTTTCCCCATCCTTCTAGTTGTTCCCTTCCAACCTGCATATGCTGTGCTGAGGGGAAGGTTAACAGTACTATGCGACCAACCCCCTCTCTTCCAACCACATCCTGCATCCCTCTTTTACAAAGTTCTGCTCTAAAGTCCTTAAAAGCTAAAAAGTTGCTTAATTGTACTACTAAGCTTTCATAACGCCAACCATTGCCTTCCTCATTAGCTTTTATTACCACCTGCACACCCGCGTTGGCTCTGCCTTTTACTACTGCCTTCGCATATGTCTTCTTAGTTCCATTACCCAGCCCCTGCTGTATCTGCAACTGTTGATTTATCCTCCTCACATCTTCACCTTTGCTCTGCCCTCTTTGCTCCAGTTGACCAGATCTTTGAGGTTTTTGAAACTCTGCTCTTTTGACCGTCAGTTCCTTGTTGTCACACCACAAACCATCTGCCTTCTGGATTGCTATCCCTATAGCCACCTCGCAATCACATCTTACAAACCCAAATTTGGATCTTGATGCTTTCCTTCTCTTTCCTAGAATAAACACATCCTTAACTAGGCCAAACTTTTAAAATAGATTGAACAATCCTTCAAGATCCATAGAGTCTGGAATATTGTCTACGAATATAGTAACTAACATTGCCTCCGTCCGAAATCCATGCTGGCTACCAACTTTTCAATCCTTGGGTTGATGATTGGTCTTTCGCCTTGTTATGAGCATTCCCTTTGACTGTCAATGTGTAATAGCTAGTCATAATTAACCACAAAACATCTCATACACAAGTACAAAGTGAACGACCTTGAAGCATCTACCTTTCTTTGAAACTTCTACTCTTCTATTGTACTGTCACAGTATCCTTCAGTACCATTTTTCACCTCCTACATCCTACTGACCTAAGTAAACACTACAGGAAAACATAGCAAAAAACACAGAGCTTTTAGCGACGCCGCGCCCCCGTCGCAAAAAACGATTTTTTGCGACGGTAACGTCACCCGTCGCAAATAATAGCCTTTAGTGACGGCACTTACCCGTCAGTAATGAAACTAAGTGGAGGGGTCGGAAATGCGGAAGTATTAGCGACGGTAAAGAAAACCGTCGCAAAACACCTTTTTTTTGAGACGGCATATCTCATTTGTGACGGAAATTTGTCGTCGCAAAAAAGTATTAATTCAAACGGCGCCGTTTTACGAACTACTGCCTTCTATTTGCGACGGTCTACAGCATACCGTCGCAAAAAGTCAAAATAAAAAAATCCCCCCTCTTCTTTTTCCTGTTGCCGCTCGATCCTTCCTCCCCAAATCCCTAACTTCACCCCCAAATTTCTCAAACGGGCTACGAGCAAGACAGCGGTGGTGCGGCGAGCAAGCCAGCGGTGGTGCGGCGGCGACGGCGACAAGTAGTGGTGCTCCGGCGACGACTCTCTCTCGCTCTGCGTATGCTCTCTCTCTCTCTCTCTCTCTCTCTCTGTAATGCAGCTTCTTTGCAGTTTTATTGAATTTTTGGATGCAATGTCAGTCCCTATGGCAATAGCACTCTCTGGCCAGCCTCTTCTTGGTCAACCAATAATGGTTAAACCATCAGAAGTTGAAAAAAATTTGGTTCAGTCTACTATCTTTTCTGTTCTTCCTTTTT